AGAATATAATATGATCACGCGATTGATAGTCGATAGATCGATTCATAGAAAGCACGGTATTTTACAGATCCTTTCACTGGAATATCGTAAATGAAACAGAGAAATTAGTCACGTCATTTATCGATCTTGCAGGCTGTATTTTGTTGTTTCTTAACTCGCACACGTTTACTTTCGCTGATGACTTCATCGTGTTTCGCACTGTTAGAAACTTTCGCGTTTGTTTCCGGTTCAGATAATATGTTGGTTAGCAACTTGTAGGTTTTAAAAATATGCTTATTATGATATAAATACATGAAAAAGAATCTTTGTTGTAATTATATCGGAGAATAATTATTAGATAACCAGGAAAATCTATTTGGTTTTGGAGGAGATATGTTTATCAGAACCGATGTATCGTGCAATATATAATTAGCATATTATAAACTATATTAAAAAATAGATATTATAAATACATATTATAATTATATTGAAATAGATAATGAATTTAGCGTATTAATGCACTGACTTATAAATGTTTACTAATGCTTCTCAATTTTGGTATTGAAACGCATGTATTTTTTCGATTATTTATAGATACATGTTTACAATAGTTACACACATATAATTTCATCTCAACAAAATAATTTTATTTTTCTCTATGTTTAAAGAATTAATGTTATTATTTTTTTTTTCAATATAATATAACGGTAATGAGAGAAAAGAAAGAAGCAGGGACAAAGAGAAAGAGAGAATTATTGCGCATGTATATAAAATTTATTGATGTGATCATGAAAAGTAGGATAAGAAAATATAAATATAAATTATGTTATATTTTATATTTACGTATATTTTAGTCATACTAAAATCAAAGTCATGTCCACCACAATGAGCAATAGATTTCCATTAAAATCAACTTCCAGTAATTAATTAGAACGTTCATGCTTGGTTAAGAAAATTACGAGAAATTGTCTTGACGCTTATCAAAGAAGTCAAAAAATCAGCGAAAAACCGTAACACATACGGCAATGAAAATTCGCGGACTACCGCAAAATATGTACACGCTGCCGGTATACGCATCGAGGTATGTGCGCCGCGTCGCGCGCGCACCAGATTTATCGGCGCTTGGCCGAGTTTTGGTAAGGTAAGTTGAGTGAATTGTAAATGTTTCCGGCAGAGAACTTCACCAAGATGGCTTCCCTTCACTACCGGGGGCGAGTTTGTTTACGCCTCATGACTCCCCACGTGGGAAAGGCAGCATGGCGCGCGTCACGGCCTCAAACGCACAAATCGCCTCGGCCTCTCGACTGTTCTGCCCATCTGTCGGGAGATTCAACGTAATGGCGTGCTCGCCTTCGGTTCATCTTCCGA